GGTGTCTAAATTTTCTATTAACATATCATATAATCTTCATGGTGACCATTCAAGTGCATTTTCAAAGGCCTCAGCCTCTCTCACATCGTTTAACATTCTATTCAATTAAGCTTCTATTTTTTTTAATGGAGCATTTGGAAGATGATGGGGAGTAACTGATGTAGATAGGGAAGGAAATTCTGAATATAAAGGAATATTAAATTGTCAGTAATATTTACCTACTATCTATTAGGATTTATATCGTTCAATAAAGATAAGCTTCTTTGTCTTTGTAATGAACTTACCCTTGTTGATTGCCAAAGTATATTCCCAAACCATGCCTCTCACCTGCTGAGTTTTCTTATGCTATTATATCTGCCACAGATTCTTCAACCTATTATATTGCATGTCAGTATGCTTTGAACGTTGAGATGGTTCTGGTTGCAGTTATTAGTGTTGAACTTATTGGTGATGGTGGAAATGTGTTAGTAAAACTAGAATACTAGATGAAGTTCATCTATTCTTTAATCCTTTTAATTTTAATTATTGGTGGTTTTGATAATTAATTACTAAGGATGGCTTTGATTGTGAAGCAATGCTTGATTGATTGCTTCAACTCTTTTGTATGTTTTGTGATATATCTTTGTCAATGTTTTAATGGTAAACTTGGCCCATGACCATGTGCAGCATCCTTAGGTTCTAAGGTTTGGAATGCCATTAATGTTTACCGCCAGTATGTATTTATACTTTTTTGGCTGATTCTTTGAAGTTTGTTGTTCTACAGTGCTATAATGGGCATACACTCTGTTCAGTTAAGCTTATTTTTGATATTGTAATGTATGTTGATGGGATTAAAAGATTCCAACCGCTTTATTGGAGTGCTTCTTGTAATGTGTTAACATTATAATGTTTTTAGCTATTTTATTAATTCAATGCTCGGGATTTTCAATTTCTCAATGGAGGCTATGGATAGATTTTAGTTCTTTCTATTTAGAGGCACTCAACTTCGGTTGTATTCCTTTAGAATGTTTTTAAAACTTCACTTATTAGCTATTGTTGCAATTGCCAATTTAAGAGACATATTTTGGTTTCATTTTATTTTTCAGGTGATGATGGACCAACTTCAAATGAAATGCTTTATTGGAGCTTAGTGGCTATACTAATGGTCTCTATAGAAGATTCAATTATTTTGATTTTGTTTGTCTTCTAAGTGAAACATTTGAACTATTATTCAATTGAATTCAATTAGTATACTATTGGCCATTGGACTCTTGCTTGTCAAAGAAATGACTTTCATTTACATTTTTTGAGGTTCAGAAATCAGCATATGCATTCTCTGAATTGTCTAATAAAGCATGGATTTGATCTTATGACTAAGGAAATGATGAGACATCAGTAATTTTTAATCAAATTTTAGTATTACCTATAAGAATTAAGTTAAGTCGATGTTTATTAATTTAAGAATTTTGATTGAATGTCATGGATAGAAGTGTAAACTAAAAAATAATCAAAGTTTAGTACCTAAATGTTTTTTATGGAGAATCAAAATTTATTTTGGCTATCTTTTGCTTGAAAGGAGTTTCTGTCTAATAGTTGTGGCCATATACTGCAGCTAGCATGCATAGGTTATGTTTTTTTTATTTTCGTTTGTGAGGCGTCTTTTGCTTGAAAGGAGTTTCTGTCTAATAGTTGTGGCCATATACTGCAGCTAGCATGCATAGGTTATGTTTTTTTATTTTCGTTTGTGAGGCGTCAAGCAAATTCAATGGCCCATCATCTGGCTAAATCTGATTTCTAAATGAATTTAAGAAACTATATGAGAAAAGAAATAGGACTTGGACTCAAAGATAGATTATTGATGCTGGACATGCTCTTAGTGTTGACACCACGAACCATGTGTCGACACTATGTCCGTGTCGGTTTTCCAGCCCCTTTTCACAATTTTATAATAGTAAAATAGCTGATCTCATCCTCTAATTTTTGTAGAATGAACACTTTAATACTAACTTAACATTCAATTATTTAGGTCCCAGGAACTTTTTTCTTGCAATTCAATCCTCTAACTTTTATAAAAGGTTCATTAGTTTGAACCAGTACCCTGCTTTTATTTTTTATGCTTATTCAATTATTTGTAGCCCTATTTGTATTCTTAAATTTTGATCTCTTTAGCTATTCCCTGTTTCTTTCATCTTCGACCTCCCTTATACTAAGTTATCTGTAAGTTTTACCTCTGCTATACCAATTGTTTCAATTCAGGGAATTACTACGCTATTCTACCAGCTGACCGACTCCAACACCGATTGGGTAAGTTTCATTGTTTTTTTTATTTCTTTTTTTCCCCTTTTTTTCTTTGTTCGTTTCTATAAAGGAGATTGTAACCTAGTTGGGCATTGTTGTCGATTGCAAAGATGGGCATTGTTAACCCCTATTTTCCTTTGTAAATTGGTTTTTGGACTGATTTGTGTCTGCAATTTTTGAAGAAATCACCTCGTGTCAAATTGGGGAGAAGGGGAAGAAGAGACTAAGATTGAAGTGCAAGCATTAAGCGAAAACAAGGAGCTTGGGATCTCTATATTCTATTTGTAAGGAATAAAATCTTTTTTTTTTCTATTTTACCTGCAGTTCTTTTCATTATAGTGTTCAGATAAAATCACAGAATAAATTTTGCTATTTGGGATACTGTTAATTTTTCTTCTGGTTATCTTCCTGTGATGAATTTTTAGTGATTTCTCAAAGGGGGAATTTGGGTCTCTTTTAAGTTATGCATATCTACCTTTTAATTCCTCTTATATATATTTGTAGGATGGATAAAAGTTGGATTAATCTCCATTGGAGTAATCCAAAATATGAGGAGGGTGTCCGCCAGTTTCTTGACTTTGCATTTAATGGTCATGAAGAAGGGAAGGCACTTTGATGTCCATGTGAAAAATGCCATAATGATACATTTCTAACAAGAAAGGTTCTGTATAAACACTTGATGGCTAATCACTTCGACAAAGTGTATGTGGAATGGTATCATCACAGTGAGTCATTTTACCATGAATCTGATGTAGAGAGTGATTATGATATGCATGAATTTGAAGAGGAGAGTGATTATGATATGCATGAATCTGAAGGAATGCAAGAAATGCTACATGATATTGGATGTGCTTATAACATCAATGACGGATCAGATGAACCTGTTGGGATTAGTTCAAGCAATGTGAATAAGGAAGCTGTGGAGTTTTATAGACTTTTGAAGGAGGCAGACAAAGAACTATATCCCAATTGTCAGCATTTCTCTCGCCTATCTTTCATCGCGCAACTAATGAACATTAAAATCCTTTATGGATTGAGTGGGAGAGCAATTGATGCAATTTTAGAATTATTGACTAAAGTTCTTCCAAAGGGCAACAAGGTACCTTCCTCATTCTATGAAGCAAAGAAGATTTTTGAAGAGTTAGGATTAAAGTATGAGAAGATAGATGCTTGTGTGAATGATTGTATTCTTTATTGGGGAAAATATGAAAAAGAACAATCATGTCCTGTTTGTGGTGTTAACAGATGGAAAAATGGTGGAGAACAAGATAGAGGAAAGCAACTTCCTTGTAAGATTTTGCGTTATTTTCCTCTAAAGGATAGGATTAAGAGATTGTACATGTCACCTAAAACGGCATCAGAGATGATATGGCACGAAAAAAAGCGTCCTGATGATGGATTTATGCGACATCTCGCAGACTCTTTGGCTTGGAAAAGCTTTAACTCTCAGCATCCTTCTTTTTCTGCAGATCCACGTAACATATGACTCGGGCTTGCTAGTGATGGTTTCAATCCTTTTGGAAATATGAGCACGTCTTACAGTATATGGCCAATGGTTTTGGTGAATTATAACCTACCCCCTTGGATGGGTATGAAAGATTCATATCTTATGTTTTCTATGCTTATTCCTGGTCCTAAAGCTCCAGGAAATGACATTGATGTATACCTTCAACCTTTGATAGATGAATTGAAGGACCTATGGGAAAATGAAGTGGAGGTGTATGATGCGGCATCAAAATCTAACTTTAATGTGCGGGTAGCTTTGATGTGGACGACTAGTGACCTTCCGGGTCTTGCTATATTATCAGGATATAGTACAAAAAGTAAATTTGGATGTCCAATTTGCAAGACTGAGACTTGTTCATTAAGGCTCCGAAATGGTCATAAAACATGTTACTTGGGTCATCGTCATTTTCTTCCACCGGACCATCCTTGGCATGAAGATGCAAATGCTTTTGATGGAACAGCAGAACATCGTCATGCACCTAAAGAGTTGACGGGAAAAGATGTGGTGGAACAATATAAGCTCTTCAATCAGGTAAGCTTTTAGATTATTCTTCTATTGTGTATATATATATGTTAATCATTTTATTATTTAATTTTTATGTTTTCTTATTGTTATTTGTGAATAATTTCATTATGTGACATTTGGCAAAACAAGGAAACTAAAAAAAGGGCAAGAAACATTACTAGGTAATTGGAGGAAAAAAAGTGCTTTTTTTGAGTTGCCATATTAGGAAACCCTTATGATACGACATAACTTAGATGTCATGCATATTGTGAGGAATGTGTTTGTTAGTTTATTTGGCACTATGATGAATGTTAAGAGGAAGACAAAGGATACTATTAATACCCGTTTTGATCTAGAGCTTATAGGTATTCGTCCTAAACTTTATGCAAAATCAGAAGGCAATAATAAGTATAGTTTTTTCTCTGCATGCTATACATTATCACCAAGTGAAAGAAAGGATTTATGTAAATTTGTGCATGCCATAAAGGTTCCAGATAGCTATTCCTCCAATATTACTCGTTATATGAGTGAGAATGAATTCAATTTAGCTGGAATGAAATGTCATGATTGTCATGTTTTTCTGCAACGTCTCCTTCCATTAGCAATACGTGGTGTGTTGAAAAAGGAAGTGTGTGAGTCAATAATAGAGTTAAGTGGTTTTTTTAGGAAATTGTGTGATAGAAAGATACATGTAGAAGACATGGAATCACTCGAGAAGTCAATAGTTGTGACTTTTTGCAAGCTGGAGAAGGTCTTTCCCCCGTCCTTTTTCGATATAATGATTCATTTACCTTTACATTTGCCTGGGGAAGCAAAAGTTGCAGGCCCTGTCTCCTATAGGTGCATGTACTTTGTTGAAAGATTCTTACGTCGGTTGAAGTCATTTGTTAAGAATACTGCTCATGTAGAAGGATCGATTGTCGAGGCTTATATTGTTCATGAAGCTGTGATGTTTTGCTCATTATATATGCCTGAAGTTGAGACAAGATTAAATCGTGTTGGAAGAAATTATGAGGGGGTGGATGAATCAACTACCTCGAAGCTTCAAATTTTTAAATGTATTGGGAGGCCATTACGAGAAAACAAATATGAGGAGTTGAGCTTCATGGAATGGGATCAAGCTCGAAGCTATGTGCTTCATAATTGTGAGGATATACATGAGTTATAAAGTAAGTTATTAGTTTCTGATTTTTTTAATATTTATTATAAATTCTGATTTTTGCTTATATTTATCTTTAAATTTTAATTTTTAACTATTTTGTGAAAGCTTGCAGAACAAAGAATTGGAGTTGGATTATGCGGATACTATGGCACCAAGGGTTGAAAAAGAATTTGATATATGGTTCAAAAATTATGTAAGTATTTTAGTTTTTAATTAATGATAATTTTACTATTAGTTAGGTTTCAGCTATCATTTTAATATTAACTGAATTTTAAGTAGTTGCAGACATGATTCTTAGAGAAAAAGTACTTTTAGATCTCTTTTAAGAAGCTTTTGAAAACTAGTTCATAATAAATAAACCTTAAACTTCATCTATTCTCAAAATTCAAAATTGCACCATTAAATTTTTTTGATACTATGCATTTTATTAGAATTAAAAAAATCAAATAATGCAATGCCAGATATGGGAATTTATGATTTCTCCACCATAGAAATTAAAACAATGGATTAGAACGATAGTTGACTGACTCTTCACTTTAAATCAATAGAATGATGACACTTAACATCGAAATGCAGGAACCAAAGCTAGATTATATCAAAGTTCAGTGACAATCTTTATCCTGTAAACAAACTGATATTTGATTGAAAGTGATTTTTTCATTTTAATCTTTATTCAGAATTGCACCAATAAATTTTTTTGATACTATGCATTTTTTTGAACCTTAAATTTCATGAAATGGGTTGTATTAATAGTTAATTTTTTTGATATCTAGTATATGAATTATTGGTTAGATGTTGGTGCAATTCTATGAACTAGTATATGAATTATTGGTTATGTTTTAGAATACTCACAACATGCATGAGTGAGAATAAGAGAAATGATATATGAAATTGTATTTTGCATATTATAATTAGAAATTGGTATTTTTAGTGATTTTAGTCATTCCTGTGTCACAATTTTTAAAAGCTTTTTGTTTTTTTTTTTTTTTTAGTTTTTTTTTTAATTTTGTGCACAATATGAAACAGTTACATGAATTTGGTGTAAATTCTCTTGATAGATTGGGTTTAATAGAGTGATTATATGTTACTAATTTATCAACAATACTTTTTTTTCTTAATGATTATTGGTGAGTGTTCTTTTTTGAATCTAATCTGAAAATATTGTTTATATATCTTATTATTGTTTTCTTTTATTTTAGATTTTACGTTTGAAAGATGAAGGAACTGTGACATATAATGAGGAACTTGAATTTTTGGTTTGGGGACCTGACAGAAGGGTAATCAAATATACAAGTTACCTTATTAATGGTTGGAAATTTTGCACTAAAGAGCATGATATGAAGTTGAAAACACAAAATAGTGGAGTATGTGTAAAAGGAGATGGAGGCATTGATTATTATGGGGTACTAAATGAAATTATTGAACTAGATTATGGAGGACATAGTGTGGTTCTTTTTAAATGTGATTGGTGGGATGTATTCAGTAAAGGAAGGAAAAAAGGATGTAAAGAAGACCAATATGGGTTTACATTAGTAAATGTTACACATAAACTTCAAACTAATGAACTTTTTATATTGGCTAGTCAAGCTAAACAGGTGTATTATGTGCCAGATACAAAAGATTCAAATTGGCATGTTGTGATCAAGACAAAACCTCGTGATTTTTATGATTTTCCTCCTGATGAAGATACAGTTGAGTCATATCATGAAAATGAGGAGATTGGGCATACACAACAAGATGCCTTGGTGTGTGATAATGATCTTATTTTGAATCGATTAGAAATAGAAAATGTTGATGTTGAACAAAGGCCAATAACTAATGACCTGTTGATAGAAGATGAAGATGTAGAAGATGAAACTGACTATGAGGATGATCTTATTTTCAGTGAAGAAGAAGGGGGGCCTCCACCAGAAGATACAGATGGTGATGATTTATGATCATTTGCTTTGATTTGTAATTTAATGTTTTGGGACAATATTTTGGAATCTATTATTAAAGTTATGTAAAATTATTTTATTAAGATTTTATTATTTAATTTAATTTAATTTTAGTGGTTTTTTTTCTTCATAACATAAAGTTCATTTATGATGTTTGCAGCATTGGTGCTAATAAAATAAAGTACATGAAATATATAATGATGACATGAATTTTTTATATAAATTTTTTTAAAAAAAATTTTATATAGTGTTATAACTATATGTGCACGTAATAAAACATTCTTCATTGTTCATGACTTTGTAGTCTATGCTAAAAGAAATCTTTAC